ATCCATTTATTTCAACAAAGTAACTGTATTCTGAATACCACCTTTTTAAACGGTAACTGTAACGGAATACAGTTACTCATATTTTGTATTTTAAATACGTAACGGCGGTACATGTATTCCGTTACTCCCCAACACTGTTCACAGGTGTTGTATGTTCTTAGTACCATGACTGTAAATTTATGCTTACTGACACAGACAAAGATCACAATTCATGCCCATTAACGCAAACACATTGACTGTTTGTTTTGCCCTAAGACCGGGCTGTTATACATCTGTCAGTAGTTTCTGTTTTTATCAGCAGCGCTAAGTGGCAAAAACTCAGGCTGGTACAGATGCTTTATATTGAATTTGGTTCAGTTTAAGTTTAATCAAACTTTTGGATAGCTAACCCTAACTGACCAACACAACTAGTATCTGCTGGCTGTCTGTTATGAGGGGACCTCGACAGCAGACCTAATCACTAAAGTTGTGGACACATATATGTGACAGACACAGAGGTATCAGAGTACCGGTAGCGTGTCTGAAATGATCTGAGATGTTTGTTTCTCATTTGGCAAATACAGAATTTCTGTGTTAAAACTTCTGCGTTCTTCTCTCTTTGTTGTCAGGTACACGATAGCTGGACAGTTTTGTCTAGCTGCAAACATCCCGCTGCAGCACGACACCAACACACTTCATGAAATCCTCAGAGAAAACAGCTATGAAGAAAAAGTGGAGACAGTCATTGGGGAACAAAACTCTGAAAACAGTGAAGTTTATGTAGGCAACAACATGGTTATAGCCAGGGTTTTAAAATTTGAACACGCAGAACTTCGAGTTCTTGAAAAACTAGAACAATTGAGCCAAAACAGGGCTGGAAACTTCCTGCTGCTCTACTCTTATCTCTCCCCATGTAGCACGTGTACAGAAATAATGTGTGAAATGGGTAACATCCAAGAACTGATTAAAAGTTACAAAGACAGCGCCTTTGTGTTTACAAAAGTTTATGACAAATCAAATTCTGAAACTCAGTCTGTTATATCCAAAGAGGAGTTGAGAAATTCACTTCACGAACTCGCGTTTTTAATGGGCCTCAATAACATATTTCGTTGTGTTGGACAGTTTGGGTGTCACAGCTGCTTTCCAGATAGCTACTTGGAGTTTTGTATTGATAACAACGTTGGGCCTCAACAGGCAGGAAACCATAGATGGGAAAGGAGACAGAGTGAGAGCAGCAGCGGAGAAAGAAGATGGAGAAACAGGAGCAACAGTGGGAGCAGGCCCAACAGGAAAAACATGGGTGGAGGCAGCAGCAGTAAGCGGAACATGTACAGGAGTCGGAGTGAGAGCAGCAGCAGCAGCAGCAGAAACAGTAAAAAACCTGGAAAACCCAAAGGTGGAGGCAGGAGCAGCAGGAAGAGAAGCAAACATAGTAACAAGAGAAGGAGCAGAGGAGGAAGTACATGGGGAAGCAGGGGGAGGAGCAGCAGTAAAAACAGGGGTGGAGGCTCCAGGGGGAGCAGTAGCAGTAAAGGTTAGAGGAGTTAAAACAAACCATCATCCCTGAAGACAAACTTCCTTCACACTTTTAAATGATTTTTCCCCAAACAGCATTTAAATTCTACACTGTTCCAAAAAATAGTAATGTCAAATTATTTTACTGTGTATTTTACAGATGTGTACTGTTTTTCTAGAATATCATTACATTTACATAAGTAGACTGTGATCTGACACGTCAAATGTAAAATAACATAACATCACTGTAGATGTATGAATAAATATATAAATAAAACACAATTTACTTGTTTTTTAGATATATATATATATTTGTACATATGCATATTTAGATTGTAAAAATACATCCAGAAATGTATCATAATTTCACAAATATTTGTCTGTTATGTGAGAGAATGGTCTGTTAAAGTCAAATGTAATACCATGGAAAAATATATAAAATGCTCGAAAATTAATGAGAATAATCAATCATTAAAGGAGTATTTGAATTATAATTTTGCTGAAAATTTCATGTCACCTAGGTCTGATTCAATAATTCAGAGGTAACAAGTGATAATATAATTAATAGGAATAAAAACTAAAAAAAACATATTGTGGCGTGTTGGGGGAACAGCTAGTTCTCTCCCATCATGCTTTGGGACATGTGCTGCTGTTTAGATGTTCTTGCTTTATTGTTTATGGTTACGTTACTTTTAACTGTTATCTTGAATGTTGTGTTTACGCCGTGGTGCAGTCACTGACAGTTGTTGTTTTATAGAGGGAGTGCTGTACCATGAGTGACTTCTGTTGTGCTGTTTTTGAACATTGAGGCACATTGTAGCACTGGCAAGTGTTTTAATAAAGAGCTCTCCCTACCAGTTTGGGGTTAAATAACAAGTTCAATCTCTTTGTGAGCTTCTTTGTTAAGATTTCTCTGCATACCACAATGTAAGACATTGCACGGCCATGCTGTGCTAATGATATATTTTGAAAAAGAAATGTAGAGGTAGGAGTTGCAATTAATATAAATAACATGCTGCTAAGCATCAGCCAATGAATGTGAACTAACAACAACAAGGTTGCGGGTATGGCTGCGACCGTAGGAAAAAACCCTAATATGAAGGTATTTTACTGTGCATTTTACAGTAAT